CTGGCGATTCTAGGAAGGTGTCCCGACGCAGTCTGGTCAGAGATCCGTCTCAAGCAGAACGCGTAACCATTTCACGCAAACTTTTTGTTTTCGTTTTTTCGCCTGTCTCCGAGACGAAGAATGCAGACAATCCCCTGCTTAGCATTTTCCGGTAACGCCAAACTGTTTGATGAGGGGAACAGGATGGGATCGGACGCACGAAGCCACACACTCGCAAGCCAGCTGTCAGCTGGACATCACACACACGCGCGCAAAATTTCACTGATTCCGTAACGAGGTGGCGAGACACATGTTTGCGTTTTGGATCCCTCTTGACAGCAGGGAGGGATGCTGGAGCAGCTGGGGCACGCTTAGGCAGGCGAAGAGAGGCAAGAAGGAGGCCAGGAGGTGAGAGAGCGCGGCCGGCTGGAGGTCCCGGACCGCCGCCGCCGTCGCCGTTTGACACGGACCGACCGGGTGTCCGTCTCGTCCACGCAACCCTCCCACTCCCACTCGCAAAAAAACACAACGGAAAGAAAATATAATTAGAAAAGTAAACGAAATAAAAAAAAAGTTGCAAAAGTATTATGGCGTTTGCGTCACAGGATGACACCCCGACGCCGACGACGGCAGTGTCCTGCGGGGTGCCTTGCCTCCTTTGGGTGGACAAAGCCTTGGGCGTGGGCGCGAACACACACACACACGCACACACGCGCACGATCTCGTTGCCGACACGCGTGTCGTCCCGTGTCCTTCGACAGTGACGATGTGCAAATAAAAAACGACTTGTGAAATCGCAACAAGACGCTTGCAATCCTCATGCAAGTCCGCGTGATTTTGCAAAGTGTTTAATTTTCGACAAGAATTATTTTTGAGGAGGGAAACGATGCTGCAGTGGAGACTTGTGAGGTCATGTCCGTGGATTTGGGACCGCATGTAGGCGGTCTGGTCTGAACCTGCAGCACCTAGAGTAACAAGGACCGAGAAATCAGGTGGAGTGCGCGGTGCGCGGGAAAGGGAGTGCAAGCCGCGAACGAGTAGGCGAAGGCGACGCGGCACTTTACAATGGAAGAAGGCGGTGCTTTATTCGCCATGAATCACACGCACCATCTTCATGGCAGAAACCAACACGCCACGCCACGCCGAGCCGCGCGGAACGGCTGGGCTGGGGTCAGCGTAAAGGACGTCCAGGCCATTTACATGCCCGCCGCCCGCCGCACTCTCACGTCGCCCTTTTATCGGCCTCTCCCAGGTTCAAGTTGAAGGCAAGGCGTCGTGCCGCCCCCGCCCCCGGCCTCTCCTTCCGCTAATTATTCACACTACTGACCCACTATTTGCAGCCCGTTGCTGACGGCGCCGCCGCCACTGCTAGGTGCTGCAGCGCGGCTGGGCCGCTCCGCCTCTGTTGTGTGCCGCGCCGCGCCGTGTCGGATAACTGTTGTTCAGCTGTCTGAAGCGAGGCGCCCTCAGAAAGGTCGCCGACTTACGGTGTGTCGGTCTGTGCAAAGCCCGGGGGAAATGACGAGGCATGTCACCAAAAGCTCAGATTCAGGACAGTAGTATGGGTCGTGCATTGTAGCGGGTCGCCATCTTGGATCCCCTCTTAGATAATTTGAGACAAGGCGGTTCTATGGTGTCCAGGGGAATCGAAATCGCTCCTCTATCGCACAGTTCTGCGTCATTGGCACTTCGATGACGATTGAACCTAGGATCTTTCATGACGGATCCTAGGGAAAACGCCTGGAGGGTAGGCAGCCGACGCGGCTGTGGCGCTCTGGCGTGAGGCGCGTTGCCTACCACGTCCGGCGCTAGGCCACGCGAAAAGCGCTGGAGGCAGGCCCTCGGCGTTGTGCGTGTCACCGTTGCGAGGAAATGGCATGGAATGATGGCAGGAAGGGGGCGCCAAGTGGGGTACGGCACGGCGGCGCGGCGGCACGGCGGCGCGGCGAGCCAAAGTGGGGTAGTGTCGTGCATCGCATCGGCAACGGGACTTGATGCTATTCCGCCACGCCGACGCTCTTGCTGTTTCTGATATTCTCTGAAGCGGGTAAGGGCACCATGCCGGCGCGGCCCGGCGCCGCGCCTCGGCGGACACACCAACTCGGTTCGTGTCTCGTTGACGAGGGTTATAGCCCATCCCATATCCCCGCTGCACCGCGCCGCGTCGTGCCGCTGCCGTTTTGCAGCCAATGGCTTCGTAAAAATTGTTGCACCGCCACATGACGACGGCTCCGACCCGGCAGCACGCAGACAGAGCGATACGGCGGTTATTACTGCGAGACACCTGCAAAAATCTGGGCCGGCATAACGGATGTTTTGCCGGCCACATGCGGAATCGATTCGCTGAGCTGGCGCGTTCTTTAGCGGCCTGACAAAGCCACCACTCCAATGAAATTTCCGCGACTGCTTCAATTTTACTGACCAGATCGATTTGAATTCGACTTAAAATCGGTTGTTCCGACTCTTTTTTCCAGGATCGGCGCCGGTGTGGCCCGACCCGACCCGGGTGTCGAAACTCTGGCGACACACGGAATGGGCGGCCACCGGATGGATCCGAATCTACAGCGTCGAGGCCAGGCCGGCCAGGCCCTGCCGACCAGGCCCTGCCGGGTCGCGGACGGCGGCCGGGTCGACGGGTCAGCAGGCCGAGGGAATCCCAGAGGACAGGTCCTGTGGGTCGGTGACGTCGCTGTGCGTCGGTGGGGGAGGCGGCATGGCGGCATCGGATAATGTGATTGGAGATGAGAGTACGAGACAGGGGGCGGGCCCTGCTTCGGGAGCCGTGTGGCACTGCAGTGCTGCAGCACCGGGGTGTGGGAATGGCCCTCCGACGGCGTCCCACGGGTACAAAGCAGCCGGCCTGGCGTCCAATGGCAGCATGGCTGGAGGGTGTCACCAACCGTCGTCAACTCACCGGGAAAGTCTCCTTGCACTTCTTCATGGCGCCGGGTGTGTCGTCGCCGCCTCACTCGCACACTGCACTGCTCTCACTCGCGGGGGCGATCGCACCGCCCTGCCGAAGCGCGCGGGGATAGCACTGTTCTGCCGCGGGGCCGGGCGAGCTGCAGTTCGCGTGGCGGCGCGTGGCGCGGGGCGATACCGGCACGATGCGCCGACTTGGAGGGACTCCAGCTGACTGGAGCGCTGGAGCGGACTGGAGCGGGGGACGCGAAGAGCCGATGCAGCCTTTGGCCTGCACGCCAGTCTCCAGCCGCGCCGCGCCACGCCGCGCCACGGCCCACGCGCTGGAGTGCCCGGAGTGGTCGCCCCGGTAGCGGGGTGGGGGCCCGCCGGGGGTCCGGGCCGCGGGGGTCGCCGTCGAAGAGTCGGAGGCTGACCGGCTGCGTGTCGTCCTCACGCACTCACGCGGCGCGTTTAATCGCTGGGCAAAGTTCGGCAACACCTCGGTGGCTCGTTGGAGGCCAATGGGAGCCTTGCTGCGGACCCGTGGGAAAAAGCTTTAGCAGTCCCACGACTTTAGCTCTGGGGTGGTACGTACTCCGGCTGGAACCCCCACTCACAAAATTCACGCAGTTCTTATTCACCCGCGTTTTATGCAGCAGTGGCTGTCCCACTTACGCCAGTACCACTCCTTAAAATCTGTTAATAATGAGCGGCATATTTTGGTGGTACTACAAACAGCTTTGGTGCAGCAAAAAATTCGTTTTAGAAAAGAAAGGGAACTAACCAATTTCTTCCACAAATACTTCATTGAGTGAAAAATTGTTTTTTGAACAGTACATTTACGCAAACAATTAGTTTATGCTATCAAGGAATCAACAAATCTGTGTGTGAGGGAGCAACAAAAATGTCTTGGCATGGCTTTGGCGCTAGCATGGGGCCGGTTGCTCGTTGAAATATAAGTAAGATGGGTTGCCTACTTCGGGCTGACACAGCACCACCGCAGCCCGCCAGACCCGGCCCGTCGGTCCGCCGAATGGGCAGCACACCAACACTCGCGCGAGCCGGATGGGTGGCCTACTCGTCCGGGGCAAAGTCTCGGCTGCAATGGTGCTCGATGGGCTGCCTACCCAGCAGGCACCGCCCGTAAAAGGTGGAGACGCTGGTTGGGATGCCTACCGCGAAGGCGCAGCCGAAACCCCCGCCTGCGAGCTATCGGACTGGTTCCGAAGCCGAAGCCAGGTTGGATGTGGTGGCCGCGCAGTCAGCAAAAGTCTGTACTTTCAGAGGTTTAATCGCTTTTTGGCCAACTTTGCGAGGCCCCTGTTCTCAAACTAGCTTCGTCAAAGCGTTTCTGAGGTGGAGCATAAAATGTCACTCTGATACAACCAAAGTGCAACTCTCTTGAATCACGCATAACGTACCGCCGAGGAGTCCAACACTCTGGTAATCGTGTGTGCACTTCGTCCAGTAATCATTGCCAAAACTGGCTATTTTCGATTTTCGCCGTTTTTATCGGATTTTAGGGGTTTTTCTTGTGAAAATAGGCTAATTATGGTCTTCGCTGGTAAAATTATAGAGTTTTTATTACTTTTGTAGGCAATCACTGGTGGTAATCAGTAATCCTGTGCCTGAGCTAAGTGGTAGACCCCTCGCGTAACGCTTGAATACGTTACGTTTGAAATGAAGCAGATACAAGGAACTCCCCAAGCATTTAAACAGAGGGAGCCTCTTACGCTTGATTTCAATCGTTAACTGATTCCACATGAAAACAGTGATTAGTTCTCTACGCATTGGTTTTTACCCGTGAGGGGTATTCTGAGTACTAGGACGTCAAGGGAGATTTATGAAAACAGCTAGATTTGACGCAATAGCCGCCAAAAGTCAGCAAAAATCAGACATTTCAAAATTTGAATCTTGACCAGTCTTGCGAGACCGATGCTGCCGAGGTGTGGCCTGAAGGAGCAGTATGGTCTTAAAATGAGTACTACTAGGACTTTGAGGGTGGTCCTAGCTTGCTTGGACGTAATGGCCAAAGTCAGCCAATTTGATTGAATCTAACATTTTGCCTTCACTTGCCTCATTTTTTCTTTTTGTTTAGAGAAAGAAAGGAAAACTCAGAGAGTTATAAAAAAATATTTATTTTGTTTACGATCACATGTTTTGACACATCCTGCGACAAGTTCCTGACTTACACAATTTTCAGCAAGTACAGTGTGCCACATTAAAACTATAGACAATAATAAATATTCGTGACAGTTTGGAGAAGGGTGGCACACTTGTACTCGTTCTCATCTTTTGTAACGTTTAACCAACGAACGGCACAGCACACAAATCAGAAGTTCATGCTGAGATCTTTGGGATAGCTGCTTGCACGGGGTTCCAGTCGCAGTCTACGCGTATGGTCCTGGAAGAAAAAAGCGCAATTTTTCATAAGCTTCACAGATTTACCAATTATGCTCTAGAGGGTATAAAGTTCTTGGTTTAGAAATTACCTCCTGAGCTGGCACCAGGGGAAGAGTAGCTGTCAGCACCGGCAGAACTGTAACTGCTGCTGCCACTGGAGGGGGCACCGTAGCTGGACGAGGGGGCTCCGTAGCTGGACGAGGGTGCGCCGTAGCTGGACGAAGGGGCACCATAGCTAGAGCTCAGACCGCTGCCTCCGTGGCTGCTGCCATGGCTGCTGCCGAAGCTGATGGAAGTGGACGGGCTGAAGCTGAAGCTGGAGCCGTGGCTACTGGAGCTGGAGGAGCTGTGGCTTGACGACGGGGCACCATAGCTCGATGACGGGGCGCCGTAGCTGGACGACGGGGCGCTGTAGCTTGACGAGGGCGCTCCGTAGCTCGACGACGGGGCGCTGAAGCTCGATGACCCGTGGCTGCCACCGAAGCTGGAGGACCCGTGGCTGCCCCCAAAGCTGGAGGACCCGTGGCTGCCCCCAAAGCTGGAGGACCCGTGGCTGCCCCCGAAGCTTGAAGACCCATGGCTGGAGGACGACGGAGCGCCGTAGCTGGAGGAGGGAGCACCGTAGCTTGACGACGGGGCACCGTAGCTTGAGGACGGGGCACCGTAGCTGGAGCTCAGGCTGCTACCGTGTCCTCCAGAGCTGAAGCTACTGGACCCAAAGCTGCTGTGACCGCCGGAGCCGAAGCTGGACGAAGGGGCACCGTAGCTGGAGCTCAGCCCACCGGAGCTGTGGCCACCGGAGCTGTGACCGCCGAAGCTGTGGCCACCAGAGCCGTGGCCACCGGAACCGAAACCACCTGAGCTGAATGACGGAGCACCGTAGCTAGAGGACGGTGGGCCGTAGCTGGACGAGGGTGGGCCATAGCTCGATGAAGGGGCACCGTAGCTGGAGCTCAATCCTCCGCTGCTGCCGTGACCACCCGAGCTGAAGCTGCTGAATCCGCTGTGGCCGCCCTTGAAGCCCTTAGAGCCACCGAAACCGCCCTTGAAAGAGCTGGAACATAAAGGGGTTGAATTAGATTCCTGTCAGAACGTTGTCTGTGTTAGGTGGTGAGCGAACCACGATGACATTCCTACCTGAAGCCCTTGGGAGGTCCGTAGCTGCTGCTGGGAGGTCCGTAGCTGCTGCTTGGGGGTCCATAGCTGCTGCTGGGCCTGCTGCTGGGCCTCTTGCTGAATCCACCGCTGCTGGGCTTGAAGCTGCTGAAGCTGGGAGCACCATAACTGCTGCTGGGGGGTCCGTAGCTGCTGCTGGGAGGTCCATAGCTGCTGCTGGGTGGTCCATGGCTGCTGGGGGGTCCGTAGCTGCTGCTCAGACCACCGCCAAATCCACCCTTACCACCGCCGAAACTGCCGCCGAAGCTGCTGCCGCCACCGTGACCGCCGTGGCCACCGCTGAACGATGATGGAGCCCCATAGCTGCTGCTGGGGCCGCTGCTGTGGCCGCCACCGTGGCCACCACCGTGTCCACCGCCGTGGCCGCCCCCGCTGCTGATGACGGAGCCGGTGAAGGTGGCGGGGCCGCCATGGCCGTGACTAAGGGTGGCGGTGAGGAAGCCGCCGCCACCGCCGCTACTGTGGCCGCCGCTGCTGTGGCCGCCGCTGCTGTGGCCGCCGCTGCTGTGGCCACCGCTGCTGTGGCCGCCGCCGAACGACGGGGCACCGTAGCTTGACGACGGAGGGCCATAGCTGGAAGACGGGGCGCCATAGCTAGACGATGGAGCTCCGTAACTCGACGACGGAGCGCCGTAGCTGGAGCTCAGGCCGCCACCTCCGCTGCTGTGCCCGCCAGAGAAGTCTCCGTCGCCAAAGTCACCGATGCCGCCGTGGCCGCCTCCGCCACCGCCGCCGAAGTCACCGCCTCCGCCGCTGCTGTAGCTGTCCAGGCCGGGAGCGCCATAACCTGGGGGCAAGGAATCGCACGGTTACTACGGCAGCAACAAAAACAACATGACAGTCATCGTGAGACGCGCGGAAAGACAGGCCTCTATGGCATCCCGGCCCGCTGCCACCAGCCTCGGGCACGGAGCACTTTCGCTCTCATCGGCGTTCGAGAAGGGCACACGCGCTCGACCCGATCCCTAGAATGTGTGTGTGTGTGTGTGTGTGTGTGTGTGTGTGTGTGTGTGTGTGAATGTGTGTGTGGAGGGGACTGGTACGAGGCGCACTGCCTGGCGGCGCCGATACGAACTTAACATTCAGATTATGCGAAACTATTGCCCTCCACTGCTTTCGCTCTCGTCTGGCAGAGCTAAGGCATGCCTGGCGAATGAGGCGGCCGACGACGTGGAAAGAAAGACGGAAGGAAGGAAGAAAAGAAGGAAGGAGGATTTGGAGGGTTTCTCTCTCCGTACGCTTGCATGGACACGTGCATTATGTGATGCGAGACGCGGCCCGACTACATTAGGCGGCCTCGCCATCATCATTGCGTATTTGGGGAAGGGCCGGGCCGGGCCGGCCGACCGCAGTCGGTTTTAATTACCATTCAGTTGGAGAAAGGTCCAGCCTCGTATGAGGCAAGATTTTGCGGAAAAATTAAAAATGGCTGAGTGTTTTTTTTTCTGGAAGATTTCTTTTTTAATGAACATGACGTGACTTCATCAAATGGATGATACGTGACGTAATGATGCTTGAAGACAGAAGAAAAAGACAGTAGTTAAGATGGTTTAAGTGTTTGACCCCGTGCCACTTATTTCCGTGAAATCCAAAAAAACTTCCTGAGAGTGTTTCCTAATCGGGAGACGCGATGCCTGAATCAAAGAGAAATCCACACCACTCACTTAGCGCGATGGCGCTCCATTATCTCGCGGCAATCATCGACAAATTGAGATTGAGACGCCTCCCGTCTCTCTCTGGCGGCGTTCGTTATCAACACAATTTGCTAGAAACTTTTTTTTTTTAAATGAAAATTAAGTGTGAGGAAAAATACACAGAAGGAAATGGTCGCCCATTATCGACACACACCTGCATGCCTTTGTTTCTGTTGCCCACCTTTTTTTAATCCGGAGAAAGTCCGCCTGACAGCTCCAAATCCGAATCTGAATCTATATCACCGAAGGATAGGTTTATTACACGGCCCGAGGCTGCATAGACTGAGAGTCGTTTCCGTCGCTCTGTCTCTCTCACGATGGACGTCTATCAGTGTGAGAGCAACGAAAACGACTCTCAGACTCCTGCAGGCGGGCCGCGGCGCCGGCGTCCAGGCCGTGTTCTTGACCTTGTGACACTGGGCGGACCGGGGCGGACCCCGTCCAGCCGGCCGGCCGGCGGACTGGCCGCCAGCGCGCCAGCGGTGCAGTGGTTGCACCTGCCTGGCAGCTCGCCGGTACATCTCTCTCCCTCCCTCTCTCCTCTCCTTGTCTAGGGTGTCGTTTCGCCGTAAAACGTGTCGAGAATATCAGGGCGCCGCGTGCGGCCGCGTGGCCGCGCCTCCACGACAAACGGAAGGCGAACCGAGGCCGAGTTACGCTGCCCGCACTCGTTCGACGCTTTTTAAAAGGAATTGTAAAAATAATTAGCCCCGCCGGGATGACACAGTGGCCCGGATTAAGACACGCGAGAACTAGGCGGGGCTTTTTGTCAGTTTTTTTCCCCTCCTTGGACTTGAACAGGCGAAGAAACCACCGCGGCGTTCGGCAGCGGCACGTCGTCTGGGATCACACGGGTGAAAGAGAGATTCGAGAGGAAGAGAGAGAGGGGGCTGACTTTCCTGACGCAAAAACTCGAACAGGCCTGGCCGTTTACGCGCATGGAGCGGTGCGGGAATGAATGGGACGCCCTGCCGGGTAGGCAGCCACCGGGCACTACCACCCCGCCGGCGTGAATCACTTTTTGCCTCAAAGACACAGCGAACAATAATGGCTATTACGGCCAATAAACTCGGGAACATCATTCACAACACCCGCCTCGTGTAGAGGCTCTTTCACACAGACACACACACTCGCGCAACACTCACTCACACACCTTCTCGCTCGCGTTGATGGTTCCGGTTTGAAAGTGAACCTTGCACTTCAACCAACACATAACCTGATGATCATGCGAATGTGTGGTGGGTCCGTGCTGCCCGCACGTTTACGTGTGTGTGTGTGTGTGTGTGTGTGTGTGTGTCGGCGTGTGAGTGTGTGGAGTGAAAGGACGTGATGGGGACAGACGAACAAATCAAGGGGGGCGCCGCGAGACAGTAAAACGCAGTATGCAACACGATGCAGTGGCGATGGCCCATGCCAGGCCGTGCCAGTCCATGCGGGGGAAAGCGACGAGCAGTTTACGAAAGGTCACGGGTTCGAGTCCCACCGAAGGCGCCACTTAAATTCGCGCCTTTAAGGCCCCCTTTTTTATGGGAACTCCGTGGAGGCGGTGAAACCAATCACAGCGAACGAGATAAGGAAATGGCAGGTATTGGGCAGTGAGTCGAAAATAGATATTTTTTTACCGGCCCTCTGGCGGGAATCGAACCCGGGCCGCTGCCAGCAAGAGGCGCGGTGCAGCTGGCCGGCTGCAGTGGGACTCTGTTCGGACACTCCAGCCTTGCAGCGAGAAAGTCTCCCCGGACTCCCACCCGGCGGCGCACGGCGGCACGGCGGGGACATCACATGCTGGACTAGGCGTCGCCTAGGCCGGGGCGTGGCTGGAATCGGCCCGCCCGTTTTCTCTGAGTGTCGCCAGCCAGCTCACTTTTGCGCCAAACTGTTTCCGTTGCGGCCGGCCTGGTGTCCCGGCACCGCACAGTGGGCCAGAAGACACGTGGAGGCGGCCAAAACTCTAGTAGGCGCTTTCGAGCTCCGGAGTTGCTAAATGGGACCCAAACCGAACGCGTGACCCCACCAATGGATTCCTTGTTCGGAGAGCAATCCATTGGTGGGGTTCGAGTCCCATTTAGCGACTCTAGAGCTCAAAACGCGTTTAGAGGTTTGGCCGCCTCCACCGGTCCTCTGGCCCACTGTACGCCCCACACGAGAGCCAAAAGCTCAACTGAGTCAGTGGCAAGGCTTCTTGACCCACCCCCTGTGGCGTGCCCGGACCGGATGGCCGAACCAGACCTCCCGGTGCACACTGCACTCGCCCTGCATTCGGTTGCATTCGATTGCATTCGATTGCATGCAATTAGGCAAGCCGGCGGTCGGACACGCGACCCGACGTGCCACGGGGTGGCTTGCCGGTCTGCATGCAACGCCGCAGTCCTTGTTGCAAAGCACTGCAAAGCATTGCCAAGCTGGTGCACTGCGATCCGCAAAGATCAGCCACGCGAAGCGACGCGCGGCTCCGATCGTCCCGACAGGATGCACTCGATTAGCCGCACTGGAAAACGCTGGCCGGCGTCGGATTCAAATTAGAAGGCGCGGAGCGCATCGTGCGCATCGCGCACATCGTGCATCGAGTCCGTCATCCATCCGCAGGACGGCCATCCGTGGCGCAATCATTGTGTTCATTCAAAAGGTTTCTGCGGCGGAGGAAGCGCGCCGGGAGGCAGCCACGCACAATGACCGGATAAAACAACTCCTCAGTGCAAATCCCTTTGGCGCGGCGCGTTTGGAAACAAGTTGGGAATGGACTCACTGGACGAGGGCGGTGGCTCCGCGAAGACGCAGTTGGTCGCCACGAGCAGCACCAGCGCCGCGGTCCTCCAGGTCTGGAAAAGAGACAGATGTCACTTGCTTTCAGAGCAGGTCAGTTTCGCGGTCACTCACACTCACTCACACACACACACACATACACACGCACTCGTGCGGTGACTCACACGCGCCCACACTCGCACACTAGTACACTGGGGCGCGCGGGACCGGTCCCGGCTGAAAGCGAGAGTGGATTGGCCGTGCGGCGCCGTGCGGCCGTTCGTCTTGGGCTGCAGAGGCTGCAGTCGGTGTTCCGCGCGGGCGGCACTGCAGGGCCGAGGGCAGGCCGAGGGCAGGCAGGCACTGCCACTGCACTGTTGGGACACGTTCCAGCGCCGTGAACACAATGCACAGTGCAGCAGGCAGCAGAAGCCCGAACCGACTGGGCACGATTGGAAGAAGCAAACCCAACGGCACTGGCACACGCTTGCGATTTCGTTCTCGCGTCTCCGCAACATTCACACACTGTCCGCGCGGGGCGTCCCTGTCGCTGGAGTCCGGCTTGAGTCTTGGGTCACAGTCACTGAGGCACTTGTCACTTAATCCAGGGCGATGCTGTAGCCATGCTGCAGTCCGGGCGGTCCGAGGGCGGCCGATGCACCGACTTACCGGAGCCATGTTGCGTCCTGGTCGGCGAGCACAAACACACAGGATGCCCGGGCTGGCGGCGGGACCCTTATATCCCCTGACCTTGCCTGGGCCGCCTGGCGTCGTCGGCGTGGTGGTGCCGACGCCGTGGTGGTGGCGGCAGGCGGCTGCCCTCCCCTCCAGCGAGGGGAGACTCCAGGGCGCCTGGACCGCCGCCACGACGCCGCGGTCCTGGCCGCGCCCCCACCGGCCGAGCCCCCTGCAGACGCACCAATCGCGGAGCCCCCCACGCGGCCAAGTCCGCCGAGGGGCCCGAGGGGGCCGAGGGAGCGGGGAAAGTCCGGCCGGCGCCGCGCTCGCCGCGCCCGTCCCGAGATGGGGGCTTCGGCGGGGGCCTCGGCGGCCCAGGATCACGGCGGCGTCATCGGGGCTTACGTGACCGCGCCGGCGTTTACTGCCGCACCGAGATTATGAAGTCCGAAAAGAGGTAAGGTTTAGGTCCGCGCGGCGCTACGCGGCCACGGACCTTTGTTAGCCGAGGGTGAAGAGTATAAACCAGGACCGTTATTCCAGTGTTTTATATTTTTTACTGGTCTTGTTTCGCCACCCCCATGATAGATGCCGACACTTGTTCGGCACTCTATCCTTAGCCGTGTGCACACGCCCCCCGCTGTTCCCCAGTGCCGTCCCCTGCGCATTAAAAGATTGCAGTGGACGGGAACCAGCTCGCAAGCGCCAATTACTGAAATTTTTGTGGCTGCGCGGCTGCGCGCACGCCAGGGCGAGCGGCCACCTGTGAGACGCCCTAACGCTGCGCAGCCCGCGGCCCCGGAAAGGGACAGGTTGCCGCCAAGGTCGGAGAAAGAAGAAGCGGTTACGCCACCACGCCCTTTACATTGATCCGCCACGGCCCGGGCGACGGGCCGACCCAGGGCCCAGGCCCAGCAGACTGATTCCGAGAGTCCTTTACGTCGCTCCGTCTCTCTCGCACCGATACGGGACGCCCCATGAGTGCGAGAGAGACGGAGCGACCCTCAGTCTGCGGCGGCACCGACCACTCCCCGGGAAGGGCTCTGCCTGCCCATAACGCATGCCTGCCTATAATGCGTCGAAGGGAAAAGTGAACGAGTCGCACAGGTGGATAAACATCGGTCAGGTAACGAACCGCCCAACTAAAGATTTCTCCGAGGTCACGAGGTTCAAAAAGGGGAACTGGAAACGGAGGCAGAGGATCATCCATCCCATTGTTGTTGTTTGGTGTGTGTTGTTGTTGTTGTTGTTGTTGTTGTTGTTGTTGACGTGGGGATCGCTTCCTCATAATCCCTTCTGGCCGACCACAGAGGCGGCCGGGCCGGCCGGGCCCCGCCGGGCGCCATCCCATCCGGAAGGGCCCGCTCCGCTCGTTCCGAACCAAATTGGAGTGCCTCGCGGTGCATCGAGGCATCGAGGCGGCGGCGCGGCGCGGCGCCGGAGGTCAAGAGCACGCCGTGAGGACCGTGAGGACGCCCCGCCGATTACAGTGTGAGTACGCGCCGAGGCTGCGGCGCTGCGGCGCACTGCGGCCTGGAGACGCGGCGCGCCAACTAGAGCAAGCAGGCAGAGCCAGGCAGAGCCCTCCGGCAGACTGACTCCGAGAGTCGTTTTCGTCGCTCTGTCTCTCTCGCACCTCTACGGGACGCCGCATGAGTGCGAGAGAGACAGAGCGGCCTGCAGCGGCCGCACGAAAAAGTCGACAAAGCGGCGACCCTGACCTGGCCGTCCATCACGGCCTCGGCGCCATTTTGCCGACAAAAACAAACTGCGACGAGATTTTATTCGAACTGAATGGAGGTGAGTGGTGTGCCACCGCAGGGTTGCAGTCACTTTTGGGGTTGGCTCGTCCGAAAAACGCAGGATTTTGCAGTGAGCGGAAACGGGAAAAGAACGAAGGGCCCTCGAGGATGACCGTTGTTATGGTCGCGTCGTTCTTACGTCTCGGAGGGCGACTTGGCGAGTAACGCTAACTGCCGAGTCGTCCCTTGTAATTCCTTCTGCCTCCGTCTCTCTCTCTCTCTCTCTCTCTCTCTCTCTCTCTCTCTCTGGCAGCCCGGTGGTACCCAGCCTGGCCAGGGCTGCCCTCTCCCTCCGTATAACAATGACGAAACAGGTGGGATGCAGCACGAGCGCACTCGCCTGGGAAATTTGTCGGTCCTTTTGCCTGCGGGAGCTGGAAGATGACGGTCGGACGGACGGACGGACGGACGGACGGACGGACGGACGGACGAGACAGACAGACAGACAGACAGACAGACAGACAGACAGACAGACAGACAGACAGACAGACAGACAGACAGACAGACAGACAGACAGACAGACAGACAGACAGACAGACAGATGGACAGATGGTGAAGAAGGGTCGGACACCTTTGCGTCACGCCTTCAGTGTGTTACTGTTGACAAGGTCCTTGGCAAGGTCGCGGACCCTTTCGCACCTACACCCATTTTCCCCTCCCCACTGCCCCCGCGCCACCCCGCCGGAAGCACCTCCACTGTCAAGGAGTAGAAACGACTTTTTAATGCGGCCGACGCTGCGAGAGCCGCAGAGGAAGAAAGAGTTGATTGGCATAAAAACTAAACGGGCGTGTTCCCGAAAGTGCTGCCCCGCCGTTCCGGGGCGTTTCAAGGCGTTCCGGGGCGTTCTGAGGCGTTTCGAGACGTGCCGGGGCGTTCCAGGCGTTCCGCGCTGCCGCAGCCCCGGACAGACGCCTTGCTGTTGCATTTTTTGGCAGAAGAGCAGCCAGAAGTAGTGAGTAGCAGTGACGGCCCGGACAGGCATAGCCCGCGGGGCGGCGTTTGAGCCTCTGAAAATGAAGGGTTGTGGACGTGCGAGGCACCCGCGCGGAAGCAGCACTAGCAACACTGGCAGCACTAGCAAGGAAGCGTGCCGCCTCTCGCACCCACACGCCTCGTTTTGGGGCCGGGCGGCCCGTGGGGCGACCGGGCTGCTTGGAAACGGAGACGGCGTGCCGCGGCGTGCGAGGCAGGCACCAGGCACCGCCTTGCGCAAAACGCGGCAGCCTGCGCCTTTGTGTTTTATGATTGGGATCCACACATGCGCGACCCAAAAGCCAAAACGCGTGATGCAACGGCGTCCTCTGCTCTGCGAGGCGGGGGTGGCGGGGGTCGCACAGTGGGCCAGAAGACCGGTGGTGGCGGCCGTCTGGAATTTTGGCCGCCACCACCGGTCTTCCGGTCCACTGTGTGAGCAGTGAGTTCGGAAAGCCGAGTGGCCGAATCGCCGTGTCGGTTTCACTCGCGAGAGAGACGAGGCTCGGAGTCGGTTGGCACTGCGGACGCGCCTTGGGACGCGGACTGGAGCGAGTACACCGTGATAATTGTTTCTCAGCGCCCCGCCCCGCCCCGCCACTCGTTTATGGCAGGAGATGAGGGAAACTGGGCGGCGCTTGAAGCGCTCAGCGTAATGAAAGAACGTGTCGCAGATCTGCCTAGCAGGCCAGCGGCAGGACGACGCGTCGGGAAGGATGCAGGAGAGAGAGAGAGAGAGAGAGAGAGAGAGAGAGAGAGAGAGAGAGAGAGAGAGAGAGACGTCCAGGATTGCGTTTCAGCGGTGTGCCGCGCGTTTTGGAGGCCCGGGTCACGCGCCTCTGGTCTCCTTGTCGGAGTGACAAGCAGAAAGAGGGGGAGGGAGGGGGCTATTCGCAGGATGAGGGCATCGCATCAGCTTTCCCATTCTAATGCCCGGTCCATCACGGTGACGTGAACGGGAGGGAGAGAGATAGCCGGCGGGAGGGGGCAGGCGAGGCGCGTGTCCCTCGGGACCCCCAGGACGCGGGGGGCCCTGGCGGGGCCCTGGCGGGGCCCTGGTGGGGTCTGCAGCCAGTCAGACAGCCACCTCCCCGGCGACACGTAACTGTCACTTTTCAGGAATAATATGGAAATCCGGAGAGGCCCCCTCGCGTGCGTGCGTGCCGCGTGCCGTTTGAAAAGCCCGCCGCGACACTTTCTACACGCCAATGCGACACGCCGGCCGGCCGAGTGGCCGAACGACGAAGCGACGTGCCGATTTAGCACGCTGCATTTCGTTCGAGTTGTTTTTGTTTGTTTTTGTTGTGTTTTTTTATTGCTCCAGATCATTTTTTTGACAGTTTGTCTCCAGAAGATTTTTTTTAGCAGATGATACCTTCACACTTGAAACATACTTAAAACTACTATACACATGAAGGTGTCAGCGTGCTTTTACTCTCGAGTTCAAAAACGAAGCGCGTATCCTAAACAATATAATAGGGGCTGGCTGCCGGGGCGGGCTTGTGCGTGTGGCTGGCTGGCTGGCAATGAGGCGCAGCCTGCGCGGAATTCGACGCTCGGGTCTGTATATTTTGTTTCATACAGAATTTTAATTACTATCTTTGGAATGAGCCCGCATACTACCCCGTATAAGGAAACCAAACGAGTATTAACCGAGAAATTTGAAAGGGAAAAGAAAAAAAATTTGAACTCTACACCCCCTCCCCAGTCTTAATGGGGAGGCCTCCTGCTTTACTTCGGTGTTCGGGATGGGAACCGGTGCTATCAGGTACCTGGGGTTAATCCCGTCAGCGACCCAAGCGTTCGCCGGGGGACCCAGTAGGACCCCAAAGCTCAGGCAGTAGGGTGAGAGCACCCAGTACGAAGCTCTTTGAGGGGCGGGACGTAGAGTGAGACGACAGAGAGACAGAGAGAGACTCAGACAGAGAAGAGGTTTGGTGGGAGCTTCTTGTTTTCGTAGGGTTGGTTGTGTACCCCATGGTACCCCCACTGTCCGGCGCTCCCGTACCGAACATACAGCGTTTTAGGCCAGCTTCAAAGGACTTATCATCGCCTCCCCGACGAGTCAAGGAGGCACCACCCGCAACCACACACCGGATGGTCTGGATTGATGGATCAAATACTCCATCGCTCCAGTGCCGAGGCCAACCCGCCGAAGCGGATTGCTTTTTAGACACCCACAGCGGAGTGGCCAGGTGAATGTGACTCTGACCACTACGCTATCACGCTTGTACGTCTGGCAGCGTGTTGGACGACGGGTTTGAGTTGCACTGGGAGGAAGGCGGTCGAAAAATGTAATGAAATGATGGGATTCGATCCCCGGACCCCGCCATCGGGATCACACGACTTTACGCTCTCGGCCACCACGGCCCATGATGAGGGAATCGGCGTGAGGTGGGTTCTTGACGCAACAGGACTCGACCGACCCGGTCAAAATTTCGCAAGAAGTTGGGGGAGTCGAACCGCCGACCCTAGCACAGAGAACCGACGCCTCTACTCCCTGGACCACCACGTCCCATACTCGGAGTGGGCTCACGTTTACGGCTTTGAACCGCACTGGGTGAGGCAGTAAAATTAAATGGAAATATTTGTTAGGAGTCGAACCTCCGGCATGTGGGCCTGTTGCACACGGCTCCGCTCTCATGGCCTCGAACCACCACCCTTAGGATAGCAAGTCGAAAAAACTTTTGTGACGCTGGTATTCGAACGCCGGCCTGCGGTAACTCGATCCCACGTCTCTAACCTCTCGGCTATCACAGCAGTTGTGAAACGCGATGGATCATCTGCTTTCATTAACGTTCGTTGAATGAGATTTTTTCACCTACCCCCGTTGCCTTCCACTGCCGTTGCTCCGTTGCTGTGCCTCCCCAGAGCGTCCGCATGCGGTTGCAGTTCCGCATCGGATTCGCGCACTAATTGCCTGCCCTCTCTAATTTGACTATTGGACACGCAACTCATCACAGCTGCCAGGCACAAAAAGGGGTTACGAAATGTCCGGACCTCAATAGGTCGAAGCGACGCGGCTAGGCACGAGCGTGCGTTCGTTGCGTGCGTGTGTGAGTGTGTGAGTTTGTGAGTGTGAGCGTGAGCGTTTGATGTGTGCGCACGACTTTGCTTTATCACCGTCTCTCCAAAACTGTTGCCAATGTTTTCTTTTTTTTCTTTTCCTTTTTTTAAATTTTGATTTCGAATTTTGCGCGTATCAGCGCGTGACGTACGACGGGTGGTCGTTTAGCGCGTTATTGTGGCCGAGGGCCCTTCACTGTAAAGACCTCGTCTGTCAGGAAGCAGTAAAGCCCTTGGATGTTCCTTTCACACACATACACGCGCACTCGCACACACGCACACGCTCACTCGGATGCATTTCTTGTGCCAACAAAGTATCCTAACGACCTAAGTGATGCATCGATGATGGTATGGTCAGAAAAAAAAGTTTAAGGATCTTTTTAAAACCGTTTCGCGTGCATGCCAGGTGCTTCGGTGTGTTGCGCGCCACCCGAAATATAAAACTTATATCCCCCGTGTCGGCACTGTAGGGCACAGAGGCGGAAGCCGAACTGGAGCACCGGTGCCGGGATTCGAACCCGCGCCGTTCGGGGCCGTTCGGGGCGGGCGAAGAGCTTGTACCGCGTGCGTCGCACAACAGGCTCCTTCTCCGTCACGCCTGCTGGGGCCTACGGCTGCAAAGGCCCTGGCCTGGCCGCCGCACCGCGAGAGGGAGTGAGAGAGACCGAGGGAGTCAAGCAGTTCGGGCCGCGCCGTGCCGAGCCGGACCAATCGCCGATTGTCCATTGTTCCCAGGGCTGATTCATATTGGACCCCCGTGCCCCGTTTATACATCTGGGGGGAGCGGAATCATTCCGCGCTCACTTTCCTTGCTTTCTTTCGGCGTGACACACACAACACACACACACACACACACACACACACACACACACACACACACACACACACACACACCGCAACGTGCTTATAATGCCCCCGGTGCAACAGCCAGTGCCACCGATGCACTCCCTCCTGCTGCCAGTCACCAAGTCCACCGCAAAATGGAAGTGAAAAGGACTCGTCGGTTCAAATCCCCACGTCGTGAACCCTGCACTGGAAGTGGACGATCCCGTTGCCAAGCTGTGAATGTATTTGTGAGTTTTGGTTCCCGCTGTGCGCGTGCTTGTGTTTGTTTTGTTGTTACGTTGTTGCGCCTGGACCACTCGCACTGCGCCGCCTCCCTTCGATATCTCGATTCCGAGTGGAGGCGGCAGGGCAGGGCAGGTCGCCCCCGGGCAGGCACTCACCTAGCTAGTTACGTCTCGGCGGCATTGTGTACATTTTTACGGCCGTTTTCACCGGCCCGGCGCCGCAGCGCCATTCCGTCGCCCCGCCTCTGTCGCACTCGCGGGGCTCTCCGTAAGGGTGCGAGAGAGAGGGAGCGGCACAGCGCTCAATCGCGGTTTGGGAAGGGAACCCGAGGGAACCCGAGGGCAGTCGGCAGGCGGCCGCCCGGCGGGTAGGCAACCTACGCACCCGAGCGCGGCGGGAGGCCTACCCAGCAGTCGGCAGGCGGCCGCCCGGCGGGTAGGCAACCTACGCACCCGACCACCTGGAGCTCGGCCACCTTTGGCACGCCGGGCACGCTTCGTATTGTTTGCGCAACTGGAGCGTTTGAATGGCGGACGCCCTCTTCAGGAAAGGGGCCGGGGTGATTGGTCAGAGCGGGCACCCGCTAAGTCTGTCTGTCTGTCCGTCTGTCTGTCTGGCTGCCAGTCGTCACCTTTCTGTCTCTCCGTGCCTGTCTCTCTGGTCGACCCGGCGTGTGTTTTTGCTCGCAGTGCCCCAAATGACACCGTTGTGAACGAGGCGGAAGTGTGAGCCGGGACTCTGTCCGCGCGTTCCGTCATGCAATCGATGATCACGATGATTGTGAAAAATAAATCGACCCGGGACTGCACAGCGGGTCGGGCAACTATTTTTTGAAAACAAAGAGTGAGACCGAAACTATAAAAAATAACTTTAGCTCTACCTTGCCACCATCTACTCCTTGACTGATTCTCCAGTGCTTTGCGCACGATGACTCAAGCCTAGCCCCGCGACAGCTGGAAGGTCACGTGGTACACACCGGGTCGCGAAGGATGGTTCGAGCGGCGCAGCTAACCAGGATCGGAGGGTCGTCGGCGTGCCCTGGGCGTGCCCTTGCATTGCTGCAGCTGCCGCGGATGCGCCGGGCCTAGCCGGGCCTAGCCTAGCGGGGCCGGGCCACCGCGACGACGCCAAACCTGCAATTTGATTCTCCCTGTCGGCCAGGTCGCCGTCGGCCTACTTCTCGGCGGCGTCTCAGTGCCAAACGCGAGCGCCAGCCGCCAGGACGAGGAGGAGGAGGGAGTGGACGACGCCTCGAATGAAAAAGGGAGGCGTATGAAGGGGCAAGCGGTTTGGTAATGAGGGACATCCCATCCCTACTTCGCCATGACGGGTCAGACTCCCAGCCAGCACTATCCGGCCATGTGCCAGCCACATCACTCTCAAACACACACACTCACTCTTGCGCTCACACACACACACACACACACAAACGGCCCGGCGTGGGCGCTTGCCAAACCGCGTGTGACCTGTCCCCCAAGCGAGTGCCTATTCCATTCGCGACTGCCTTGTATGCTGTGCATCGGCCGCCGCGGGTTAGTGCGAAACCGGCAGCCGGCGGCGGGAGGAGGCTGACTGGAATCAAGAATTGTTATTGCATTATAACAACACACGCGTACGTGCGCACACACGCGCAAGGAAGGAGAGAGAGAAAAAAACAGTTTAAAGTAACGCGCGCTTTTGTTTGGATTCAAAGCCGGGATGATCGCGTGCGCGGAGAAAAGGTGTGGTTAGCGCGTGTGTGTGTGCGTGTGTGTGTGTGTGTGTGTGTGTGTGTGTGTGTGTGACTTACCGTGATAAAGGTGTAGGCCCGGCTTTGATCCAGCGCGGAGAAATCACGCGTGATGAGAGGGCTCCCGCTGTAAATCACAGAGAGAGAGAGAGAGAGAGAGAGAGAGAGAGAGAGAGAGAGAGAGAGAGAGAGAGGGAGAGAGAAGAGGGGGCGATGTAACCCTACAGGCTGGTTCCGTACCGTGCTTTCGTCGCTCCGACTGTCTCTGTCGCACCCGCGGAGGGCACCGCGGGGGCGCGAGAGAGACGGAGGAACAAAGTCGGAATCGCAGTGCACCGGAGAGGGTGGGGGTCGGTCATCGCGTCTGGGGCGCGCTTGCTCCGTCTCGCTCCCACTCGTGCGCGATCCGGCCGGCGCTGCGTGTGAGAGTGAGAAAGAAGGCCGCTGACTTTCCCAGCCGTTGCCGCCGACGCGTCGCGACGCCTGGCGCCGGCCGCCCGCCGCCGGGTCGCCGCCGTTCAGGACCGAGAAGGGGGAGGGGGGGGAGGATTTTCAGGTGCAGCGCGCGCTTGCCGTGCAGGTGGGTGGTTCTCATGCGAGGACCGCATTCCACTGCACCGCCTCGTCCGAGAATGCGTGTCATAATTTCCGTAACGTACAAGCAGGGGCACGTGGTGTGCGTGTGCCGCTCCAAGACCAAGACCTCCAGAGGACCTCCCTCCAGGACGTCCGGGGCCTCCTGGACGGAAGAGAAGGATGTTCTGTTCAGTCGCAGTCATGACCTGTGAAACAACCATGGTCATCTTTATTGGAGCAGTCATTGTTCTATTCTTGAACAGAATAGTTGTTCTCGAATATTTGGGATCACAGGAACAAAGACTCAGACTCAATGACCAAAGGGAACACTCCAGAGAGAGATTTATTATTCATAGGTTAGTTGCATAGTATGGACACCAGGGTTACAAGGCAGTGACACGAATAGTTCTCATACCCGACTTCTGGGCGGTACTGCCAACGTAATCTCATACCACTACAACACCTCCCCCTTCGAGACACTAAAGTATTCAGTTGGCAACACTTTCTACGTTGAAAGTAAACAAACACATAGCAGAATACAAAAGTTGATTATATTTGATATAAAAATACAGAGTAATATATTTGATTACATGAATAATATTTATTAACAGCTCCCATCATAACGATGTGGTTTTAGGATCTTCCGACCAAATCTTGTTGTTTGTCGTGACTCAAATGTCATCAATCCTTGAGCTGCTGGAACAGAAACAGCACGAACAGTAGGGTTAGGGTTAATGGTCACTTTCTTTTCACCTTTGTTCTTTTGGTAGGGTTGAGAGGGAATGCCATTCTTGCTACGGTTTTTGTTGAATGACTGGATAGCCTCGACATTTTGGGCATTATCGTTATCACCATTCAACTTCGGATATCGTGCCGTAGCTTCAACTGCCTTGCACAGATCAATAATATCAGATAAACTCTGATTTGACTTGGATCTCAGAGTGTCTCTTAACCTCTTGTCCCAGACACCCCATATAATTCTGTCCTTCAGCATACTATCAACAATAGTTGCGTACTCACAGTCTTTCACCAAGTTTCGCAAATCTGTTAGCCAGTTGGAAAACGTTTCCTCTTTTTTTTGATTTCGCGCATTAAACAGTTCACGACAACCCGTAATGCATTTTTTCTCCGCCGCATAGAGGTCAAACTGCTCAACAACCTTGTCATAGTTGTTTGTATAGTCATGTTCAATGACCTCCTCTCCTTGATCGTTGGTTGTTTTGGATATCAGCTTATCTTTAAAGGCATTATAAACCTCCAAAGCTTCATCCCCGGCCTCTCCCATCAGGAGTGCGCATCGAACATCCGACGCCGCTTTAGCCTTTCCAATTGCGGTTAAGAAGAATCCAAACTTCTGCTTGAAAGTTTCCCATGACTTCTGAATATTACCTGACTTTAAATTGACAGGCCCAGGGCTTTTTAGATGATTATCACCCATTTTCAGCAGAATTCACCACCACCAAGCCACAAAGCAAGTAGCGAGACCAGACCACCGGTTTAACCAGACTGATTTTTTCACTTTTCTCAATCTCCCGATCAAGAATTTATTACTCACAATGACAGAGCACTTGTTAAGATTCGATTACGACTGCGCCATGTTCTATTCTTGAACAGAATAGTTGTTCTCGAATATTTGGGATCACAGGAACAAAGACTCAGACTCAATGACCAAAGGGAACACTCCAGAGAGAGATTTATTATTCATAGGTTAGTTGCATAGTATGGACACCAGGGTTACAAGGCAGTGACACGAATAGTTCTCATACCCGACTTCTGGGCGGTACTGCCAACGTAATCTCATACCACTACAACAGTCATCACTTGACACGCGTCCACGGATTCAAATCCTGCTTCCACTTCTGGTGTTAATTGTCTTTCTTTTTCTTTTCTTTTCCGGCATTTTTACCCATTTTTGCATAACGCCAGTTACTGGCCGCGATGGCGGTATCCTGTTACGCGGAGTGCCGCAACTTCACTGCTTCTTTATTGTCGCGTCTGTTGGGCTGCGGGCTGCATAGCCGAGCGCTAGCGTCGTCTCGCCGCTCTGTCTCTGTCGCACTCTCGAGTCTCTCCCTGCGAGTGCGAGAGAGACAGAGCGACGAGCCGCTCTCCCGAATCGCTTGGCTGCAGAGAGGCGCTGGGCTTGCCGGGCTTGCCGGCCGCGTCGTCGGCCGGTCCGGCCCAGTCCGGCCCGCCACGCCACTGTAGCACTGCTGCTATAGCACTGCCGCTTCACGCTGCTTCCGGACGAATTAGCGAACGCCGTTCCGGGGAAGCAGGCCAGTCTGGCGGCCAGCCTGGCGCGGACCCGCCCCGCCCGGACCGCCTGGAAAGCAGAAGTAAGTCATCGCGAGCCAGCGCGCACGGCGGCACGGCGCACGGCGCGAACGCGTGCCCCAAATCAACAACAACAGCATCAAAAACAGCCGCGCGGCCAGCAGACTGATTCCGAGAGTGGTTTTCGTCGCTCTGTCCCTCTCGCACTCATGGGGCGTCCCGTAGTGTAGGTGCGAGAGGGACAGAGGGTCGGCCGGCCAAGGCGCACCAAGGCGCCATGGCTCCATGGAGGGGCACTCGTCGTTGTTCTCCGCGTCGACTTCCTCGTCGGTGAATAGAAAACTGCGGCGCATCGAGAGGTCACGCGTTCCTCGTCGGCTTCGGCGCGCCTAGAGTGTCGCAGGTGGCGCCGGGAATCTGGGAATGCGCGGCATGCCGCCAGCACACTGAGAGTCGTCTTCGTCGCCCTGTCTCTCTCGCACTCAAGGGGCGTGCCGTGTAGGTGCGAGAGAGACAGAGCGACCAAAACGACTCTCGGAATCAGCCCACAGGTCGCCTCCAGGTCGGTGACAGATGGCGCGGAAAACGCGCGCCGCTTCAAACTTTTCCCGGGTTGTACTTTGTACTTTGTCCTCGCCGGTCTGGGCTGGGGATCGCCGCGCCGTTCCGGCCCGATATTCAAGTTTAGCCCCGCCGATGACGCACAGTGGGCCAGAAGACCGGTGGAGGCGCCCGAAATCCCGGACGCGTTTTGAGCTCCAGAGTCACTGAATGGGACTCGAACTGAACGTGTGACCCCACCAATGGATTTCTCTCCGAACGAGGAACCCATTGGTGGGGTCACACGTTCAGTTCGACTCACCTTAAGCGACTTTGGAGCTCAAAACGCGTCTAGAATTTTGGCCGCCCCCACCCGTCTTCCGGCTCACTTTGTGACGGCGGCAAGTCGGGAGAGTGATTCGCCAGTTCGTCGCCCCGTCTCTCGCACGTGCGACGCCCCACGAGTGCGAGAGAGACGAAACCGATAGCTCGTTATGACTCACCGCGCAGCGCTGCGTTGCCGCGTAAGCCCATCGCACCCTTGCCACGTAATTAATTTGACCCACATCGTGTAGTGACGGCGAATGGGTGCGCCTTGGCCGCGCTCATTAGGGCCGTTCAGTTACGTGCTTTCCTGGACGGCCAGCGTCGCTCTGCCTCTGCCTTATGAAGAGCCCCATGAGTGCGAGAGAGACAGACCGACGAAAACGACTCTCGGAATCAGTCTGCCGCTCCGCCGCTCGCTGCCTTTCGCGGATGTTGCCCGGATCATCCGACACTGTGAACGTGAACGCAGCAGAACGCCTTTGCATGGAAACGTTGCCGAATGCACTTCCGCGCGCTGGACCGACTCGACAAGGCGAGGAAGGATGCTGCACTGCTGCACTGCACTGGCGGCTGTCTCTGTCGCACTCACAAGCGTCCCTCAGGGGTGCGAGAGGGACAGAACGACTGTTCAGAATCAGCCTCCGAGTTCACCGAGTGCGTTCTACACCGCCCTGCCGCCTTGCGTCACAATACCCGACCCCGTTCGCCCCGTTCCGCGTAGCATGGCGTAGCATGGCGTAGCAGGGGTGCCAATTTCGGCGAGAAATATGCGTGGCGTTGGTCAGCCCGTGATTGTTCGGCAGGCCGTGCCGTGTTGTGCTGACGGTCGTAGTGTCGACATGCTTTGCCAAAACACTGGGATTGGCGGCAGTGATCGGCGAGGTGACGCGAGGCGGCGGAGTGCAACCAAGAACCAAGACCGGTGGTCAAAAATCCGGACCCATTTTGAGCTCCAGAGTCGCTAAACAGGACTCGAACCGAACGTGTGACCCCACCAATGGATTGCTCTCCGAACGAGGAATCCGTTGGTGGGGCCACAAGTTCGGTTCGAGTCCTGTTTAGCGATTCTGGAGCTCAAAACGCGTCTAGAGTTTTGTCCGCCTCCACCGGTCTTCTGGCCCACCAGCATGGAGTGTTTCGGTTTGGTTTCAGTGGCGCGGCGGTGGCGGTTGGTCACCCCGTTGGCTGGCCTGTTGAAAGTGGCGCCGCAAATCCTCCACCCGTCCGGCCTGCCGGCGGTACACCGGTAAACGGAGCGGAGATTATTAAGTCGGTGACGTGCAGCTCGCTGCCCCCGGGAATGTTACGCCGCGGCCGCGCTAAAGAGGGAAGACCCGACCCGTCCGGAGGGACCGGCGGGGACCGGCGGCACGAGGGAAAGTCTATCAGTCGAAACTACCAAACTCCTCCTCCGCGGCAAAATGTGGCCGTCGAAGTGTGCCCGCGGGACCCCGACCCGTCCATCAACTCTCGTAGCGCAGCGCGGCGCAGCGCGGCGCAGCACCCAGCCTGCGGGCCTGGAGAGCAGGAGAGGTCCAGGGACTCCAGCCTGGAGCGTCGCGGCGGCGCGGCTCGGCGCTACCCCGCGTGTGCGCGCGGCGCCTCGACGTCGCTACCCCGCGCTTAGCCGCCTTGCCGCGCAAAGCCGCCGCGAGATGGCGCTGCAGCGCTGCGGCGCCGGAGAGCGCGCGGCGGTGGCGGCAGTTCCAAGTACGAATGACCGCGCTGAGGTTATAGCTCCGTGGCGTGGGTTCGTGGGTCCGTGAGTCCTCGCCAGCCAGCCGGGCCCGACTGGGGCCAGGCCAGGGCCAGGCATGCGCCCCTGCTGCCCGCTGACCCCCTGGGGGGCACGGCCCGCCCGGCCCGACGCCCGGCCGCGGGGCGCCAGGCCGCGCCGGGCTTGCGGCCACCTCGGGGCATTGGCAGCCCAATTACCGTGGGGATGCATCGCTCTGTCTCTCTCGCACCCCTTCGGTCCTTCGGGGCGCCCCAGGAGCGCGACAGAGACAGAGCGACGCTGTTCGGTATGAGTGCGCGGGCCGCCAGCAAAGACCATGACGTCATCGAGCACGCGCGCGTCGCTGCAGCCAAGGTGTCACGTCCACTGCAAGGCGGTGGCGTGCATGGCGTCGAAGGCAGCAAAGAGTCGAAGGCCGAATCAATAAGACAAGTGTGGTGTCGCTGCGACGCAGGCAAATGACGGAGGCGTCCCGGAGGGCGAAGGGCCCGGCCTGGGGCCCGGCCTGGGGCCCGGCCTGGGGCCCGGAGGGCCGAGGGGGGGCCTCTTGTTTCTGCTGCAGTGCGGCGGAGCGGCCCTGCGCCTGGGCCCCTCCCAGCAGGCCCTCGGCAGCCCCGGGCCTGGGGGACGCCGCCAGGGGCTGCCGGACCCCCCTTGAGCATACAGGCTGACGGGAAAGTAATCAAGTCGAAAGTGGGACATATCGCGGTGATGCTGGGCTCCCCCCTCTCTCTCTCTCTCTCTCTCTCTCTCTCTCTCTCTCTCTCTCTCTCTCTCTCTCTCTCTCTCTCTCGCTCGCTCTCATGGGGGAGCCCGTGTGGGTGCGAGAGAGGTGACGGAGTCAGCTTGCTGTCGCGGCAGGCCTTTCCCTTTCGGCCCGGGAAATGGAATGCCCGTTTTTTTTCCTCATTTCCGGCTCCACTCGGCGGCGAAGCGCTAAGCGCGGCGGAACGCGACCCCTTCCTCTTCCACCGCCACGTCGAACACGTTCAGTAACCCCCACTCAACAACCTGCTCATTTTCATAAGTGTGGTTCCGGTTTCCCTTTCTATCTCGACTAGCAGCTGGGACAAGAAGAGCTGGCCGAATATCAGCTGATCCACCTGTCATTCGACCCACCCAAGTAACAGTGAGCATTTGCCCTCAATACATTAATTGTTAAAGTCCATGCCCGCTAGAGGCCCGCGACAGCCCGCGACGCCCCACACGAGGTGTGATGGCCTTGACTTCGTGACTTGATGATGAATTTTTCACAGTGCGCGTTGTGGTATTGATGAAACTCCGGAAGGATTCTCTTTCTTTTCGCCCAAGCCCTCTCGCCCCTACAGCCGCAAGGCGAGCGCCATGTAAAGTATTTATACTAGCGGGTCGAGTACCCCTTTTGGACTCCCTCCAGGCAGCAGCCCGGCGGCAGCCCCTGCGGCTCCCAACAGTCACTGCCCTGCTCCCCCCTCCCCCTCCCGTCCAGACACCCCTCCCCCCCTCCCGCGCCGTTTCTGGCACGGGTTCCTAGCTGCCCCAATGATGCCGAACCGTCCGGGTACCCTGTTCGACGGTTCGATCCGATTTGGCGTTGCTTCCGCCTGCTTCCGCTGCTGGCCGTTTGCCCCGCATGCTTTGCAAACAGCGGCAGCCAGCCAGGCGTAGCCACGTCCGATTTAAAATCAATACAATTAGCAGCCGCCGCCGCCCCTCCCCCTTTTGGCAGTGTAGGCGCCAGGGCCGGGCCGGGCCGGGCGGCTGCATCTCTGGCGCCGGCAGAACAATCATCACACGAGAATAGAATATCGCTGGAATGAAATCGGCCTCTGGTCGCAGATAAAGAAGGTTTGGCGACGGCCCGGCGCCATGCCCCTATTCTTCTGTCCTTTCTTCCTTCTTCTTCTTCTTCTTCTTCTTCTTTTCTTCTTCTTCTTCTTCTTCTT